AACACGGTGTATTCCGCATCGCCCTCGGTCCCGGCCCTCCCGCGAGGTATCGGTCGGGCCGATACCTCGGGCGATACGGAATACCCCGTGTTGTATTCTATATTTACACGACTTTCCCCACTTCACTCTGGTGAAAATGAGTTTTGTCCTTTGCGTTGGTGGCGGCATGAAAATAAGTTTAAAACTTGAGTGTGCCGTCTCCGTGTCTTATCATTAAGTATTGTATTGTATTAAAAAACACCTTCCTCTGTAGATGAGAAGAAGGAAGCCGAATCAGACAAAGGTCCGTCTGAACCAGCCAGCAGCCCGACCACAACAGCCGCTACACCGGAACTGGTGCCGGCAGGAACCCAGCAGCCAACAGCCGCGGCTAGAGGTGAGAAATGCCGGCGATATAGAGTACCTACTGCGGCCCCATTCCCACTAGGATAAAATTGTCCGGATGGAGCCGAATGGATTTGCTTCAATTCGGCTTCGATCCTGCTTCGAACCGGATCGAGCCGGATCCGAGCCGAATCGAAGCCGGATCAAAGCGAATCAATTCGGCTCTATGCGGACAATTTTACAATTTTTTTTTACAATTCTAGTGGGAATGGGGCCGTACACTTGTCATAAGGTTATTGGCGGGTAGGCCGGCCATGTTGATTTGATTATACGGATGACATAGTCTAGGAACTACAAAACTGGTGCGAGCGTGCAAATAAAAAAGTTGCCTACATTGTTTCCGGTTTGTGGGTCTGTATTTCTGTGTTTCCACACGGCAGTTTATGTCAGAAAATGAACTCTGCTATCTCTGATTCAAATCAAATTCAAATCAAATCAAATTTTATTCAGTAAGGCTCTCGCGGGCGAATACATAGTATATAAAACATTAAAAACAATGATATGTGACAGTCTTCATTGTGCACATGAAACAACATAGGCGAACACAATATCAAGACATATACGAGACAATTACACAATTAAAATCTATACATAAGATGCAGTTATCACGAAGAATTTAGCTAGGTACGATATATATATAACACCACTGTTGGATTGTCTTGTTATAAAGGCGAATAGCGCAATGAAGGAACGAGTTGTTAAGTCTCTTAGTCCGGGCTTTAGATAGACTGATTGTGCCAGAGTTTCTGAGTGACCGTTCCGTGGCATCTGACCTAGTAGGCGGAACTAAGTGATTGCCCTGTTTACACCAAATGCATCCCCAGATTGTACGCTGTTGAAGAAAGATAAGACAGACGAAAAAAGCGGTGTGAAGACCCTGGTCCTCCCTGACGGTCAGGAATACAAGGCGTTCTGTGACTTCAGCAGCCCGGGAGGACCGTGGACTGTCATCCAGAGGAGACAGAAGACTGATGCCGGCAAACAGGTCTGAACACTGCAAGTCAGCGACATAGCATGCAAAAATAGCAACGCACGGCATTGCTATCTCCAAGTACATGACTGGCCCAGGCTCGTTTTTTTTAGTTTTAGGAGCATGCAGCTATTTTCGGCGCTGAAAACTTGTACATCCTGCATAAAGTTTAGGTTGCCCACCTAGAAGTTTCATACGGGTATCGGGTGACGTAGTGGTAGAGAGTTTGACTATGAACCAGAGAGACCCGGGTTCGATCCCGAGTTGTACCCGGGACATGTCTGAACATGCGCCCCGACGTTGTGCCCTTGGGAAAGGCACTTTACACGACTTTCCTCACTTCACCCAGGTGTGAATGGGTACCTAACTTCGGTTGTGGAAGGTCGTATTGAGGTTGTGGAAGGTCGTATTGAGGTCACCTTAGCTTGTGGCGCCGAATGGCATCCGCACAGACCCTTGCGACAGATATGTGTATCATGTGTGTTATTTGATTGTTGTGATTTTGTATTGATGATTATGTGATACCCTGCATCAATTCAGCCGTATAAAGGCTGCGACTACACGGGTACTGTTTGGACAATAAAAACCATATTTATTATTCATTTCTTCTGCACATTGTCAATTGACAACAAGCTGATATTACACGAAAACAGAGGTCTATGCATCAGAATGAAGATAATTATATTTATTTCCATTACATGTCTCCTTCTAGGTTGACTTCTTCAAGACTTGGGACGAATACAGAACAGGCTTTGGAAATCCTGATGGAGAATACTGGATAGGTGAAGCAGTTTTTCTTGAGCCCTGGTCACAACCCGCCGTGCGTGCTTTTTGTCCGTACGTTTTTTGAGAGGCTACGTCTGCTATATTTTTTCTGAAAACGTTCGGAAGTAGTGGCGTCGACGCACGTCACTCGCACGGTTGTGTAAGGTGTAAGAGTGTGGTCTGCACGCCACGTCTGGCTGTGAGCTGTTGCGTGCATCGTTCGTTGCGCACATGGTGAGTTGTACGTGCTTACAACGTACGGTCTCTGTGCGATTGCAACTTTACCGTAGGGAGGTCGTACTCACACGTGCTGCTTATGTACGGTACGTACGGGGCACGCGCGTCGCCAGTACTCGCACGCACGGGTGATGAATCGCGTGCTCCAAAATCCGTAGGATTCCGTACGGAGGTGGTACTCACCACGCACGGGTGCCCTACGTTTGCCCACGTTTTTGCACGTAGACAGCACGCAGAAGAACGTACGGCGGGTTGTGACCAAGGTTTTACTTACAATCTATGTCACTAGACACATCTACCAATAGTCCGTAACACAAGACTGGTGACTAGTATTGCGTCTATTGACTTTCAAAATCTTATTGAGATAAAAGCAAATTGTAACAGTTTAAAGTTTCCTCTAGACTGACCAGGTTGATTAACCACCTTTCCGACTAGAAAAGGTAACTAAAAAAAAACAATAGGAAGAATTTGAATAATTCCGTATCTTTGAAGTAAGCTCTGAGAGTGTAAATTATTTGGTGCATGTTAATATATTTGTCTGACAATGAAATTCAATAGTTGTATTCTAGGCTGCAAAATGCGTACAGACGCGTCACCATTATTCTGCTATTATGGGTCATCAAAGAAATCTTGTACAAAAAAAACTGTAACTCAAGCAACTTGATAGATTTTGAAAACTGTCAGAAGGGTATCGAATTGCCTGGCTGTCTTACTCTCCAAGCAGAGGTTTGGGTTTGGGGTCA